AGCTTCATTCCAATGAAGTGCATGATCCACGTGAACAATTGCAGTGGCTCAGTAGTGATCTTTTGAGATACTTCAGAAGGAAAAGTGATACTTCCGAGAGGATGACAACTCATAGATTACTCAGGATGGTAGAGTTTCAGTAGGTAATAAAATGATGATAGTTCTTCAGGATCTAATAAAACCTTTTTCCAGTTTCTTTAATGCGTTCAAAGGCACCTCATGTGTTATTCTAACACCAAGGTGTTAATGCCTTTCTCCTGTTCTTGAGTGCCTTTGCAGTATGAAGGAGACCCAATGTACTTTGAAAGTGTAACAAAATTAGGATGCTTGTAAGGTGCATTAAAGTAAACAATTTTAATTGGTGTATCCTTTAAGTTCTCCCTGAAATACCTTAAAGACAATCTCTTCAGGGTATGTTCAAGACAGTTCCTTATAGAAATATAGGGAGCATAATTTGCAGCTCTTGTAACCCATTCTTGATTTAATCTGTGTAAGACTAATACTGTTTTCTAGCGTTTTCAATGTTTTTGCTTACTTGAATTTGTGTATGACTGGTAATATGTAGATTAGGAACCTAGTTTTTATTTTGAAATAAATAATGTCAAAAGGCTGTGAGACTAAAGCTCCTGTGAACTAAGCAGGCATCATGTATTGCTCTCAGCTTTTGAAGTGTAGGGCTGTGACTTCCCAATAACAAGTGGCTACACTGGCTGGCATTACTCCTTATGTAACATTTCAAATTGAACACTGCATCAAAAATCTCTATGTGCACTGTATACCTTTTAAAATTTTTTTTAGGTTATCACAGACTTTCTCTATAAAGCATTCAGCTTTAGGCTTCTGTGGAAGCTGTTATTTCATGGCTGTTCTTGCATAAAAAGCAGGAGTTAACCTGAGCAAGTGTGTGTTCATTACTACTTAAAGGCCTATGCCCAAAGCATGAGAATAGATATTGTATAACCCATGTGCTTATGGGAGTTCAGACTCAAAAGGGGGGGAAGAATAATGTATCTCTTCCCTTGTTGGTGGAGATTAACTTGCAGACCAGAACAGTGGACTGCCTTCTGTGCTGCTCTTTGTGGGAGGGCTGATACAGTTACGGGAAGGAGGGAAGCAGAGCTGGCATGTGCACTGCTGCCCAAATGAGAGAGAGCTCTCAGACACACTTTTCTCATGGACTGAAGTGGAAATTGAAAGTTAGGATTGCGTGCTGATGAGAATGCCAACCTGCCTCAGCAGATGGAATTTGAATAGTCACCGAGGTGCTCACTTTGTAACTCACTGATAAACATCTTGTATTAGTCTGTCCTGACAGCTGCTTCAACTTGCAGTTCTCTCTCACAGGTTTCATAATGTAATTGGTCACATTTTGGGGTGCCTTGTTAGTTGTTGATACATATGTAATAGTTTACAAGTAAAACTTGTACAGCGACAAGTTGTAGATCATACATGAAATATACAATCCATATGGAATTAATTATACTAATTTTAGCATTTGGTTGGCTTCCATATGCAGTGTATAATACTGTGACCTGGTGTGGTTATGGAGCTGTTGTTTCATTCCAGCTGTTCTTTCAGCTGTGGTGTAGGAAACAAGATTTCTTCTTTGTCCACGATCCCACCTTCACCTAGAAGAAGTAAAATCATAATCCATTCTTTGTGTATCATTGCACTTCTGGGTTTTGTTCTGAATGCTGTTGAGTGGTTTTTTTTTTTCTCTTACTGGCTGATTGTATATTTGAAAGTTGCTTATTTGATTACTTAATCGTTCATGTAAGTGAGTGTTTAGAGCTGACCAAGCTGGGATTTGACCAAATGATGAAGTGACAGCAGAGGACTGTCATATCAACAAGAAAAGCTCAGACTCCATTAGAACTTAGACTGAATTTCACCCTTGTCAAGTCTGAAGTTTAGTTTAGGAATGTTTTCAAGGTGCCCGAGCTATTTTTGTATTAAGAAATAGTGCCTGGGAGAAAGTTTTCTGGATGTTGAAAATATCAGCTCCTAAGAGGATTCCCTTGCCTTCTGATGGGTGCTAGCTAGCAGCTTTTCAAAGAGCTCTAGGCAGAGCTTGACATTACTGTTCCAGGGACTATGCCACTGAGGGTTTTTTGTAAAGTCACACAATTCTGACGGGTTGGAGGATATGCTAAGGTAGTTACAAGGTGTTCATACCAGATGGCTTTTACTGTTCGAGATTGCTCTCAGGAGAGTTTAACATGCTGGGGCACAGGGATGTAAAGTCCAGACAGGTCGTTTCATGGGCAGCAGTGATCAGTTCACTGTCCCTTTTAAGCCTCCATCACTGAAAGTAAAAATTGGAAGTTTCATCATCTCAAGTCCTCTAGGGACCCAGTCCAGTTGGAACACTTACACTGGGACTGTTGGGATCTTTATGCAATGCAGCTGCACATGTGTTCTTTTGCCAGCGTTTTGAAGAGACTCCTACTTACACCTGTATCTTGACATTATTATCCAGCTACTAGTTTTCTAATGCCTCTGGAGCTCAAGAGTTTTTGTTGTCCTGTTTCCACAGGAGTGCCATAAGTTTCACTTTAAATAGTATGCCAACTGTCCCTTCAAATGGAGATCAGCCCCCTGCTTGGGGGCAGCAGCAAAGAACTGCAGGTTAGCATGAAGAACAGAACAGGTCATTTGTTGCAGCATTTGCCTCCTGTGCCTGGGTGAGGGGTCGTGTCTAACTTGGTTTAATGCTCAATGTGCAAAACTGGTGAGCAGAAGCTGGAATCACTGTGGTACCTGGGGAGTGCCACCACTTGGTTGTGGTGGCTGTTCTGTAGGTGAAGCATCTCCAGTGCTACTGGATGCCTGTTTTTAAGCACCTGCATTGATGTATGTGTCAGAAACATTTCTAATGGACATTGTGTCAGTATAAAAGGTGTTTCTTAGAAGAAAAAAAATTGAGTGCAGTGCTGATCATAAGAACTTTGAGTTGTTGCTCTCAGTCCTGTCTGATGTACTTCAACAGGGACTAGAAAAATTTCAAATGTCTAAAGTGAGAGGAAGAAATTATTTACCTCTCTGGGCAAGGTAGTTCTTTGTGCTGATCTCATACAACATGAGTTCATATTAAAGTCATGTATGGTTGCTGGCCTGTTGATGAGATGCAGTTGACACAAGATTGGAGGATGACAGAAGGCTCTAAACCATTGTTTTAGTTAACTGCTGCAATCAGAACTTGAAAATACAAAATTCTTCACTTTTAAGTGCAGAAGAAATAGTTTTAGATATATATAATTTTTAGCATAGCAATTTTCATAATAATTTAAAATTATTTTTCATAATTTATACATCTCTTTTGTTTTAATATTTTTCTTTCCCAAAGTATTCTTTGTGTTTCTGTTGTTTGCTTGTGTCTTCTATAGGCTTAGATCAATTTTTTTGACAGAGTTGAAGTATTTCATAAAATGATTAAAAATTTCGTCTGCGCTGTAGAGCATCTCACTGTACCATAGTGCTTCACACTTCTGGGAATGATGTGAGGCATGTGGTGCCCTGCCTCCAGCACTGTCTAGCATGAGAAGCAGAGAACCAAATGCCACTAGAGAACTTAGTTCTCTTTGGCTTTAATATCTTGTTTAGAGACCGCTAGTTTCTTTTGGAAATGAAAACCTTGTCAGAACTTAGGAAACTTCTTTTTTAAACTGCAGGTAGTCAAAACTATTTTGTTAGGAATTTTTCATGGGGTTTTTTCATTCTTAATGAAACTCAGACTGAAAGGTTTAGTTTAAAAAACAAACCAACTAGCACTGGTGATCAAAGACAACTTTTTCAGTGCTACCCTTCCAACTCATGCAGAATTCAGGCTCTGCCATACTCTGCTGCAACACCAACACTTAATTTGAAAATATTGATAGCTCCAAAATGTTACCAGTTTGGGAATTTTACATCCTCCTGCAGGAGGAAAAGAGAATGATTGGTGTGACCAGGACTACTGTTTGTTGTTGGCTGTATTTGCTAATCCCGTTTCCATGTATTTTGCTGGAGTTGAAAGCTGAAACCTTCCTGTAGTGTCAGACAAGTGAAAGATTTTTTTTTTTTTTGTTTGGCTTGCATTTGTGTGTAAGTTGAGCAGATTACAGTTTAAAACAACAAATTCCAAACCAAGTGCACTGTAGGTTATAAAAAACCCAAACATTTAGCAGGTAGCACAGCTTCAGAAAGTTGTGGGGTTTAGGGGTGAAGATGTAGTGTCGTAATTAAGTTTGGAATTCAAGTTGAGTTCTTGAGGGTAAGCTGACTTAGTGGTTTCCTCGGTTTTGACTTGTGAAGAGTTCTAGCTGAGGAAGTGGTCAAAGTTGCACATTGCGCTTGACTTTGAGATGAAAAAAGATAATTTCATAGTTAAAGGAGCATGTGGTACTGGATAGCAAACTTGTGTATGGAACACTGAGGTTTCACAGAAAGCTGAAGAATAAAAGGGGTGAGAACAGAGCAAACAGTGGTTCTTGTGAAAGCCACTGTGTTTTGTATGGAATAATAGTGACTGCTGTAAATCAGGTTGGGTTGTTACTGTCAAAAGTGCTGAAGAAAAAATACTGGCAACTAATGAGGTACCTGGTGTGTTTCTCCTTACTGCTCCACTATCAGGGATTCACAAGTGTTGAATCTGTAAAGCTTTTTTCTCTTTGACTGTTGAATCACACAAAACTGCTGCATTAGATACATCTGGAGTTTAATTTTTGTGACTTTAAACCAACTTACTAACTAGTAAATCTTGGCAATTAAAACTCTAATTTTATCTACAGAAATTGAAATAAGCTCACCTATTTTAGTAGTAGGAAGTCTAATGAATACTTAATCTAATACCTCCAGTTATGAGAGTATTTGAGTTTTGGTGTTACCTTGGCCCTGCACTGCAATTCTTATTGTGTTATGACACGTTAAGGTATACTCAGGATTAAGGGCAGTTTAAGCATGCTAAAAAAATACAAAATCCAGTTATGTTGCAAAGAGGTTGTTGTGGTTTTTTTCCTTTTCTTTTTAAATTATTGGAACTAATGCCAAAGGCAATGCACATGAAATGTAATTAGTAGCAACAGACTAACAGGGACAAGGCATTTGTCCTTTCCTCTGTGTGCTCAAACCAAGGATGTGTTTATGAAGACAGGTTGTTCAGGATATCTTTATTCTACCAGGATGGTCTAGGTAAGCTTCACTGCTGTGTAAGGTCTGGTTTTGTATTGTTGCAGTTTTTGAAGGAGTATTTTTATGATGAGGCTGGAGGGAACAGTTTTGATTGCACTGTGTGAACAGGTTCTAGATTCATAATCAGTAATAACCTCATACTGCCCAATAACTAATGCATAAACTTGGCACTCATTAGCGACCTCTGATCAACCCACTGATAGAGAATAATGAACACCTGTAACTTCAGTCATACATTTCAGTGTCTAGATAGTTATGTGAATATATATGTGAAGACAGACTTTATTTCTCATTCAGTAACTAAACAAGAAAGAAATGAATTGTTCTACATAGAGATGATTGGAGTCTTTCACTGAATACAGTTACTGTGGAAACAGATCTGGTGGTTAAATCCCTATATTTTGTGAGAAGTGCAGAAGCATCAGATGATTTCCAAGCTGTAAATACGTCAAGAGGTTTGATTTTATGTATTCCAGGTAGTTAGGGGGGAAAAGATGTGAAAAGTAAAAATTTGTCATCCTGGAGAAGCAGAGTTTGGTACTCTAGATAACAGGCTGTGTTGTTAATAGAAGTGTTAATGCACAATAGGAGCAACTGAGCCCCTGCTTTTTCTATCAAATAGAATTTGATGATCACTTACAACATAACGTATTTGTTTCAAGATAGAAAATGTTCTGTCACAGAACAAAGACAGGAATGATTAATTTTTTCTTGTACCTTTTTCTTGTACATTTTTTTGAAGTAGCATTTCTTACAGTTACTCTTTTTTTGTTACCCAATTAAATGTGCTTTTAGAACAGCTGTGCTTATTAGAAAATAAGTACGTTATTCACCCTGCCAACTGACAATGTTCAGGCAAACATCTTTTCGTTATATAAACTGAAAAATGTGGGGGAATATTAATAGAAATGGGCTACTGAACTATGAATAGCATAACTTTTTGGTTTTTGTCAATCACATTTAGGCTCGATCGTCTCTTTATTTTACTGGACACCGGTACAACACCAGTAACAAGAAAAGCAGCTGCACAGCAACTTGGGGAAGTAGTGAAACTGCATCCTCATGAACTGAATAATCTCTTATCTAAAGTAAGCATATTTTTTTCCCTAGTACTTCAGTGGTGAGAATAAAACTAGTTTAAAGGGGTTTGCTTCTGTGGGAAGGAGAAAATGCATTGTGGTCTTGTGTTTTTCAAAAGTATGAGAATGAAGAAAATTAGGGGCTGCTTCTGTTAAAGGTGCTGTTCTGTCAGCTTCTGAAATTATTATATAAGTGAGGTTTCGTTTAGCATTCAGTATTGATATTCAGCATTTATTCAGACCCTCTTATATAAAGAGAAGCTCTACTGCCTTTAAGGATTTCTGCTCTTGCCTTTAAAGATTATTACTTGGGTGATAAAGCATTAAAAATGTCGACAGCTGCATGCCTTTAAAAGCGCTGGAAATTGGGAAGAGTTTTCCATTAGTTTGAGACTTCAATCTGACCAAGTCTAGTAAAACCACCAAAAATAGTCTGCATCTGACAGGTGGAAATGGCTCAGTAACCTCATTTCTATTCTTATTGAACCAGGTGCTCTCATCACAATTGATGCTATCAGCAGAGTGGCCAAGGAATCATGATTATCAAACTGCTTTCAGAGAAATAAATAGTTTTTCCAGCTGTGTGACATAGTGATAAATTAGTTTAGAAGAGCATCTATTGCTTCAAGTGACCCATGTTTTATCTCTTCTTGGGTTAAATGACTTCAGGGTTTTAAGGTCTGTTAATCAATTTTGAATGCTTCCTTGTAGAGAAAAAAGCCAGCAACAAACCAACCAGCCAAAAAAATAAAAACATGTCTCAAGCCTTGTTCAGTACCTGGAGGAAATAAAGCTTCAGTTTAACAGATTGGACTAAATATAACTTACAGAGTCTTAAGGTCGGGCTCTGGCGAGTGTTCTGCTAAGCAGTGAGCAATATAGAAAAGGCTGCTGGCATTTCTTGGTTTGTATGTTGTATTAATTAATTGCATTAAAGTAATTGTGTTTTAATAGAGCATAACAGCTGATTGATTTTTTTTTTTTAAGTACATTTTAGGCCAATACTTATTTACCTATTAATGTCTCCTTAAAGGTGTTAGTGTATTTAAGAAGTACGAATTGGGACACTCGCATTGCGGCTGGCCAGGCTGTTGAAGCAATAGTGAAAAATGTACCTGAATGGAATCCAACTCCAAGATCAAAACAAGGTGCTCCTTAAATTAATTGTGTATAACTCATTGTTTATCTTATGCAAACTGTCTGTGATACGAGACTTTGCAAGCCATCTATGTCATTTGGTTTTTTATGAGTGTAGACTTTTATTTGCATGTAAGTTGTTTGGAGCAGGGTGCTAATACGGCCAAGGTCATGAGTTCAGTCTCTGTATGGGCCACTTAAGTGCTGCACTTGATGATCCTTCTGGGTCCCTTCCAACTCAGACTATTGTGTGATTCTGTGAAGTGGGACTGTAGTTAAACCTCTTTGCCTTTAGATATTCTGACCTTTATTTCTTCCAGAATTCCTGTGCTTGTGCTTTGTACCCTCATAAAGCTTTTATAAAGAAAACGAGTAGCTAGTAAAATATTAAACGGATCAACTTTGTCAAGATAGTTTGCAGAAACTCTTTTCTTCACTCTTCCCTTAATCCAGGCACCTTTCTGAGGGAGGTGAAATGGCAGCTTACTCAAGTCTGTTCTGTTTCTTTTCATCTGGAATCATGTTTGGGATGTTAGTTTCCTTAATTGTTGAGTTGTGGACTAAGTGATTTTGTCCAAACTCATTAGTACTGTCTGTGCTCGCAACTTTGTGGCCCGAGTTGCAGAAATTCACTGATTTGTTTAAAAACACACGCATGCTCCCTAAAATAGCAACAATGAAACTCACATCTGTTTGAGATGATCTCATATTTGTTTCACTTGGTGCCTCCCAGTTCTGTTGGCTTTGAATTTGACAAGCAAGTTCTGCATTTTCCTTGTCCATTGTCTTTATTTTTGTAAACCATCATATTTGCTCTCCTCCAACAACTTCTCTTCATATTGAAGATTGCAGTCTCTTCAGTCTTTCCTCACAAGACAGCTGCTTTGTCTTTTAAATAACTTTTTCTCTGTGCTTTCTCTTCTCTTACTTGTCTCCTCCTTGAGATGCACAGAACTCCACTCAGTCTGCCTATATCTCTAGAGTACCGAAATTTACACAGTGACAAAATGATGTGCTTTGTCCTGTCATCAGTGTCCTTCCTGGTGAGACCCAGTACTCGTTGTCTGCTCTGCCTTTCTGTATTCATCTGTTTATTGAGCAGTGAAAGTTGTCAGAAATGCCTCCAAGATTTTTATTTAGTGCAGTGTTCTGTAGGCATGGTTTAGGTTATTCATTTTTACACCTTATGTACTTATTTGCCCATTAGTCTGTTCTGAGTGTCCTCCTTGGATTCCATGGGGGCACAGGCTACCCAAAAGAGTTTAGTGTCACGTGTGTGCTTGGAGAAGAGTGCATTAGTGAATGTCCTTTCCATTGATTAAAGAATTGGTACCAACACTGATCTCCAAAGGACTCCAGAATTAACTTCTACCTTTCAGTTTGTAAAAGGATGTTCTCCCCAGCTCTCTGCTAACCTAGTTCTTTTGATTTATTCTTTTATATGAATCCTTGCCAGAAGCTTTTAAATGTTATTATATTTGCTGGATGCCCTCTATCCACTTGTGGCAGGTCTTTAAGGACATTGATATTCAGGTTATTGAAAGATGCTTTTTTCCAGAGCAATTCTTTCCCAGTAAATCATATTTATCCATATGCTTAATAATTTAGTTACAGAATCACAGAATAGTTTGGATTGGGAAGAACCTTACAGATCATCTAGTTTCAACCCCTTCTACTGCAGGTGGGGACCCTGCTATTGTGTACTCTATCTTACCAAGTTCATTTCACTTGTCTAGTTCAAGGATTACTTGTAGCATGCCTCTTGTACATGGAAATTGGGTAACCTGTTAGTCTTAGAGACAGCATCCTTTTAGATGCATTGTCCAGTTCATGCATATCTGCCAATCAGATTGTTAATGAAATTGAAAAGTTAATTGTGTGTTTGAGAAAAAAGTAGTTTGACAAGAGCTTACAGCTAGGTGTCAGCAGCCCTTTCTCCCACACCTGTTTAGATCACTCTCTAGCTTGCCCACTTTGGATGCTTGGCTGGTAGGGATATGCAGCAGTGTTGGTGGGCTACTTGTGATACTGTTTGTGAGCCATATGCAGTTCAAAACTGTAAGCTAGCCCTGTGTGTATAGAGAAGGCTTAGTGGTAGGTCAGTGTCCAAGATTTTAAAATGCTAAATTTATCCAGGGAAAAGCATTATTTTCTTTTTCTGTTCAGGTACATTTAGTGACCTATTTCAGTCTATCTTTGTGAAAATTGAGCCTTTATACTTTGTGAATCCAAATGCTGTATGTCTGATGATCCTTTGCAGGAGAGATATTATCTTTTGCTTTTCCTTAATCTTCTGCCAGAATTTTGAACAAAAATTTCATCACATTGTCCTTAATATTATTTTTATTTCCTGCCTAGAACCAGGCTCAGAAAGTCCTAATGAAGATTCACCTTCAACAGATCGGTTGCGTTTTGACAGATTTGATATATGTCGGTTGTTAAAACATGGGGCGTCCCTTCTTGGATCTGCTGGTGCAGAATTTGAAGTCCAAGATGATAAATCAGGTATCTATATTTTACTTGCAAACAAGAAAATTTACTGATATAAAAAAAATTTGTTGTGACAGCATTATGAATCTAGTCATCCATGAGTTTTCAGAATGTTAAGAAATAATGACAGAAAATTTCCCCAGCACAAGTGGTTTGTATTTTCATCCTCAAGTAACACAATTTTTAGGGGGTGTGTATTGTTTGTTTGGGTTAACATTATTACTATGTGTACAGTGGGGAAGAAAGGGTGGAAACCTTAAAAAGCATCAAAGATTTCTGTAGACTTTTTAAAAAGGATCAGGCACTATTACTGCTTATTCTTCACCTAAACAGTGTTCCCACATACAGAAGTAGGATATGGTTTATTTAAAAGCTTGAAGGTTTCAAGTATAGAAAGATTGCATGAAAAATACTGTGATAAGACTGACAAAGTTGGAAGATCAAATACCAGTGCATGTGTGATGTTTTTTGTTTCAAGTGACTTGTCTAATATTTTTTTAGCTGAGAGTTGGTTTGTCACTGTAATGGTACTGAATTATTTTAATCTAAGGTATTTTTTGTTATTACTGTACTTCCCTGTTCTTAATCCCAGACAATCTACCCGTTTCTGCACTGAATTAAGTAATACTGTTGATAAGAATCTGACTGTGTAGCACTGATTCCTTTGTTCCCTGTGTGTGATGGATTCTGTGCAGAATACACAGAAGATCAGTAGCTCAGCAAGGAGCAGAACCTGTGGCTGCTGTAACTTGAGCAGTGTCCTGTCTCTTCAGCCTGGTTGCTAATTTATTGCTTGCCATCTTTTAAGCTAGATTAATAAAGTGGTGTACATGTTTCACCTCACCTAATGAAACCCAACACTTCGGTTCATAGAAGCCTGATATTTATCCCAGTGTCACACGATTTCACATAAAAAACTAAAAGAATTAAAATAAATAAGAACTAAAAATCAAAAAATAAGAAAATGAAACAAAAAATCTTTAGTTGCTGCTTTTTTTTAACTCATGGGAAAATGTCCAGTCTGCTTTCCCTTCTGTATTTTATAGCAGCTTTCCTTTTCAAGTAAGTAAACAACATGAATGGACATAATGTAACTTTGAATAGTCTTTAGAATTAGCAGTCTTTGACGATTATTCTTAAGGTTATGTTAGAAAGGAGAAATATTTTTATAAAGAATGCAAATTACTTGTATTTGCTTGTCAGTTAAATGTAGTTTAAAAAAATGTACTGGTATAGATTATATTAACTACTGGTTACTACTCGACCTGGTGTGTGCCCCAAAATCGTGCTTATATTGGTCATCTATTTAAAAGTTTGTGCTGATAATTGAAAATAAAAAACAAAAACCCCACCACACCACGGACAAACCAAAACAGCAGAAAACCAACCCCTCCTGACAGGTTTCTGTACTGTACATGTAAAAAGTGAGGTCTGACAGCACTACCAGCTTCAAGTTTTGGGTTGTTTGGAGGGTTTATTCTACTTGGGTGCTAAAATCTTACATTTCTTTATGTAAATGCAGGTGCTCCCAAAGTCTAGGTATTCTATAGTTAGTGTTGAAACTTCACACATTCTTGAGGTGGCATCTGTTAATTTCCAGAACGAACCTTGCTTGATTACAGTTGAAGTACTTGTGTAGTTAAAGTAGCAGAAAAGGTCTTCCTAGGTATCAGGGTGATTTGCTTTAGATGATTGTATTAGCCAAGTACAATTTAATCCTGTAAATTTTGGCTTTATGTACATTGAGCAAGTCAGTAAAATACCTGGTTGGAAATCTGACACATCTTCTTTTTAAAACCCCTTTTTAAGGTGAAATTGATCCTAAAGAGAGGATAGCACGACAGAGGAAACTGCTGCAAAAGAAACTTGGCTTAGATATGGGTGCTGCCATTGGAATGAATACTGAGGATCTGTTCAATGATGAAGATTTGGACTATTCTCCTTCTTCAGTTTTACTAGTAAACAAACAACCTGTAGGTAAAACCTCGGGCTATTTCACTGCAAGGAACAATACAGTGGGTTTCCTTAATTTGAGCTTGTGTGGTTATAGTATTTATATTTTAAATAAGATTGGCATCTAATGTGATATGCTTTGGCCTTCTGAGTTCTTATATCCTGTAGTTACTTGTTAGTATTATTTGATGTCAAACTGCTGAAATGTTGGAATTGGAGGGTTGGGAAAGTTGAGAGCATTGTGGGTTTGAGAATTTTTCAGGACTTCATTGTAAGAAGAATTGACAATGAATGACTTTTCTTTCAGACTCTTCAGGCTGCTGAGTTAATTGACTCAGAATTTCGAGCTGGTATGAGCAGTAGACAAAAGAATAAAGCCAAAAGAATGGCTAAGCTATTTGCAAAGCAAAGATCCAGAGATGCAGTGGAAGCTAATGAGAAGAGGTATAATAGTGAACTGGTTTCCTTTTATTTCAGTTAAGCTGAGACTGTGATTTGATTTATCTGTTGAGAAACTTCCTACAGTCTTTGCATCTTAAATCTCTTATGTGCTAATTGTGCTGATGGTGGAAAGTTTGCATGCAGTGCTTGTTCCCAGGAGAGCTTTGTTGAGGACCCAGCTTCAGAGGCATCTTGACATAATGGGATGCTACAGCTGAAATGTGTGATTTGTCCCTGGTATTAAATATGACTTGATAATAAAGCATGAAAATGGGGGATTTCAAAAATTTAGAATACAGTTTTCTGATGTGTGCTGTGTTCTTCACTGTAGTTTATAGTGACATATTATCATATCTGCTGTGTTCTAGTGGTCATCTAGTGGTGAACAAAATTCTTGATCTTATTTAGGAATTTCTGGGTTTCTTGGAAAAAAATCTGAGACTGATTGTGAATTTGGGACGGCATTCTGCTGTCTACTCACTGCATGTTTGGTTTTTACGTAGAAGCTTACCTATCTTGCATATTTCAGTGTTAACACCTCTTTATTTTGTATTCTTGCCATACTTTATGGCAAGTTGTAGATGTAATTACTTCCCTTAGAGCATGCTTCTAACTCATAAACATGTACTTACTCCTTCTCAGCAATGATAGCACTGATGGGGAGCCAGAAGAAAAGAGAAGAAAAGTTGCAAATGTTGTCATCAGCCAGCCTGCCACAGACTCAAAAACATTGGTAGAAAATACTCAGGAAGAGGTATGATGTATTCTGCTGTTAGCAGGAATGATCATTCAGTTTTTTAGCAGAGAAATTTGAAACAAAACTCCTTCATATGCCCAAATTCTTTAGCCATCTTAGCATTCACAGAAATGGAATGAAGAATGTCATGGTCAACTTACTTTTATACAACGAAGCAAGTGAGCTTCTAACTGTGTGACAGCATTGAGGAAGAAAACACATTTCATCCTTTGGTAGCAGTTTGTGACCCAAATTAACACGAGTAGGTGGCTACAGGTGTCAGACCTGGGTATTAAACTGGAAAACTGTGCTAAACACTTACATGGTAGGATTACAGTGAGCCACAAATCATTTGTTCCAAATGCTTATTTAATCTTTGTACTTTAATTAGGCTTTATTTAGAATTAAGTTTTATCTTTAATAGTTGGAAGATTTAAAACAATTACCTTAGTCTTGGAAAAAACTGCATTTGTTTCAAAAGACTGAAAAGCTAAAAATTAAGAAGTGGTAAATAGAATATAAATGGTGCATGAAGTTTATTTGAGAAGACTTTATCTAGATAAGTCTGTATCCTACAAAAATAATTTCCAGTCATAGTTCAGTAATTAAATTTTTATTTACATAAAAATGATTGGAAAACTAATCTGATATATTAATGATAATTACAGGCTGAATAGCTGCTGGTTGCTAGCTATCTTTCAGTTGCTCTGTGTATGTGATGATGTGAACTTACTAATAGTAGTAAAAATTCCTTTCTGCAGCCATGTCAGTTTTCTTGTAGGAAATTTTGGAGTAGTGGATATGCTTTGGTTTTCAGGAAGTGGAATGTGTTTGGAAAAGGGTGCTGTTTATTGCTGGATTCATTGACCCAATTTTGTTATGTAGTGTTTTCAAACTGACACTTGTCTGTTATGTTCTTTAAAGGCAAAGTTCATAAACTTAAAATATGATTGGATTAAATGAGAAACTTTGCTTAATTTTCTTTCTTAGCATGATTTCCAAAGGAAAGGTGAATTTCAGAACATCAAAATTAATTTCCATAGAGAAGAGATTACACTGTTAACACAAACTTCATAAAGTTCTTAAGAGATCCAGTGCTAATCAGTGAAGTTTCTGAACTGGGGAAGAAGATAGTTTTTTCAATTCTGCCCAGTAATGATGAAAAGTACTCTTAAAAGTGCTCTTTTGGGATTTTTTTGTATGCTATTAAGTATGCAAAAATAACAATGTAAGAAGTGTTTGATTCTTTTTTTTTTTTAATCTCACACTTAATTTCTTTATGGATTTAGGCAAATGAATGGCCTCTGGAAAGCTTTTGTGAAGAGGTGTGCAATGATCTCTTCAACCCTTCTTGGGAGGTAAGACACGTGCACTATTTAAGGTGGGACTATTAAGGTTTTTAAAAAGGGCTTCAACAGAAATGCAAACACTGTATGTGTAGAATTTAAGAGAACTTTACCAGATACCAGAACTTAAATCATTTATGCATACAGATTACATAGCCGAGACAAATTTCCTTTTAGCAAACTTAAATGTTTTTTAAGACTCATTTAAAGGGGAATGGAATACAGATGTGTAATGTGCAGTTGTGGAGAGTGGGAAAGATATGAAAAGCCATCATTATAGAAGTGAAAATTATGGGAGTATTGAAATTCAAGCAAAATAAAATCACATCAATCTATGGTTAAAAAGATGAAGCAATTAAAACAAACTTGGATTCATCAAGACTTTGAGGAATATTATGTGAATCTGTTGCTGGCAACAATGGCATGTTTGTCTGATACTAAGCTAGTAGAAAAGCAAGGGGAATCAATCCTTTAGTAACTACAAAAGCTATATGTTTGGTTACTTAGACCACTTATTTTCAAAATTCACAATGGTTCTACTCACCTTTTTGTTCAGTCCTTATACAATTTTCCACAAACTTTGGTAGAAATTTCAGGTAAAAATATGAAGTAGCTGATAATGATCTAACTTCCTTGTGCAGAAGGTCAACTAACTTCATTTTCTTAAGTTCATCTTTTGAAGGGTTGAATGCTAACAGCAACTCTAACATCCTTATGTGTATCTGTAGCAGTCTCGGTGATGTCAGTATGGGCAGAGCCAATTTGCTCTCAAACTTGGAAACACAGAGATAGATCATATGTAGCAGCACAATTATTTTGGTCCCAGAAAAAGAATAATTATATTTGTGTGGCACATCATTGCATCTGAGCTAAAAAGTCTCACCTTATTTGAAAGCAGGCTGTTTGCAGTTGAAGGCCAGGTCCACTTGTCTTCTGGTATGTAGACATTCTCATAGCTTTCTTTGTACATTTGATATAAGGGAAGTAGATCAATACAGAATAATTATTACAGAATGTTCTGGGTGAAAAACAGGCTAGCCTGCCTCAAAATGTATGTTTAAAGATGCTTCTCTGGAAGGGTCTTGCAATGTCTAGAGGTCACCTGGGTGACTACTTCAGACTGCTTGCTACACTTACAGGCAGTTGAAGTCAGGCAGGGTGAATCCTACTACTGCTATTTCCTCTGTACATTTGTGTCTTGTTGGTTTGTATTTGCAGAAGCTGAGACATTAACTAGCAAAGTCTCCTTTTTTTGACTTGTAAAACCTAGCTTATGAGCCATCTTGGACCAAATCAACTGTTGGTGTATGAACAATTGGAATTTTAAGACTGGACTCTGTGGCTGTTTTTTATTGGCTTGCTTATAGCTTTAACCAGCAGCCACTGAGCTGTACATAGGGGCCATGTATATTTGCATTTCATGTTCTGATGAAGGGAGGAGCTACCAAGTACTCAGTTCTAGTTGTTACTGCTGTGAAATGAAATGTAAGCAACAAGCATGTATATGAGCTGTTCTTAAAAAAAATAGTTAATTCTCTTCTAACTTCTGTAAAGGCCTCTCAATGAGAACCTGGTTCAAAACTCTGCTTTTGCAACTTTGCATATCTGTTGAGTGAACTTTCCTTGAGAAGCTGATTACTAGTCCAGTTAGGTATCAAAAATACCAGAAACAGGTGTGTCTTTAGCACATCTTTCTGCTGGTCTTTTGCTATTTCCAGAACTCTTCCTAGTGTGTTCAGCTGTTCATGTTTGGTGAGAACATGCAAGTGCCTGTAATTTGCTTTCCCATAATATTTGTTCACGTATTTCTGAAGTCCAGTCAAGCAAGGCAGGTTTGTAAGTTATGCAGAATAGTAGTTCCCAGAAATTTGTTTTGCAGACTGCAGAATACTCAGTGAGGATCCAAACTCTGTTTAAGAAATACAGAGTTACAGAAAAATATTAAACACAAAGTGCTTGAAACTATAATAATAGATTTGCTTTAGCTTGTAAACTTAATAAAACCAGTAATATCTTCAGACTTCTCTGACAGCTAGTGCCATATAGCATAGTGAGGTAAAAGTAAATGAATGTTGGCTGCATTACTGCAAATATCATAACATGTTAGAAAATAGAGGCAGTTTTTAATTGCTTCTGTTCATAAGCTGGCAAATATTTGAGCAAAAGGAGGTTGATTTTTGGAGAAGTGAATATTTTAATATGTGATTTGATGTAATAATTCCCACAAGTCTAAGTAGTGCTAATTCTTCAGCTCATGAAATATCTCTGTTAAGAACACGGTGGTATTATTTCAATTTTCCAGCATGGGTTTTGTCTTCTGTTCCCTAGTATTTTAAACTGACTTTTTATTTCACTTTCCTAGGTTCGACATGGTGCAGGTACTGGACTGAGAGAGATACTTAAAGCTCATGGTAAAAGTGGTGGTAAAATGGGAGATAGCTCTTTAGAGGAGGTAAGTTTCCAGTTGTGTAGGCTTAGTATTTTACTTAAATGAAGTTTAGAAAAGTGACTCTTTAAAATACTTTGCAACAGGTGTGTGATGTGGGGGAATATAAAGACTTTTCTCAGAAGCATCTGGATGACATCACTGTATGCACTGACAAAACACTGTTTTTAAAAGGCCTGTGCAGAACCCAATATCACTGTATAATTAGCCATTAATATATTGGTTGTGTATAAAGTTATTGAACATTAGCTTCCATATTGGCATATACTGTTTTCAAGTCCTGGTAAGGCTGTCCTGAAACAAAATTGACAAGCTAATTATGTAACTCTGGTAGTGTTTCAGACCATCTAACTCTACTTGCTTGAATGGTAAGAGGACTCTTATCAACCTGCTTTCTTTATTACGAGAAAGGGAATTAAAATAGTCTTTTTATAAGGAGAACAATTGTTTAAAAATATCCTGACAGTAATTGTATGTTTACTAATAGTGGATTTTATCCAGATTCCTATTGACTCTCCTGCTGTAAAAGCAGCTGGAAGAGCTTGTGGCTTAGAGAGTTGAAGAAGGAGATGTAAATCAGTGTACTTCAGCATACTTAGTAATAGGGAAAGCAAAAACTTCTCTCTCCTTCCTTCCTTGTATAATAGTATTTGTTTCGTGGAGATGGCTGGATAATAATAACACAATCTTCTATAATAAAATACTTAAACCATTTCTTAACTATTTATGGAAATTATGTATAATAAAATATATATGTATATAATGAATAAATATAATAAATTGTTAATAATATAGCAACAACCAAAACGTCAGTATGGTATCACCATTATTCTTATACTGACTTTAGAACACAGCACTGTACCAGCTACTGAGAAAAACTAACTCTGTCCCAGCTGAAAGCAGGACACTAGCCTTTTGATAAAGGTACTGTGTTTTTAGAGAAGAAAACAACCAGGTTATGATATTTGTAATAATCCAGGTGAGTTGAATTAGTGCTGACTACTGGCCTGGTCTGTCTCTGCAAGAGAACATTATTGAGTCAATGTGAACATTTGTTGTCATGTCTTTTACAGATATTAGCTCAAGTAAGCATATCAGAAATGCTTTATGAATAAATGTAGTCAAGGTGTTGAACTTTTCTGTTCTTACAGATGATTCAGCAGCATCAGGAGTGGCTAGAAGATTTGGTTATTAGACTTCTTTGTGTGTTTGCACTAGACAGATTTGGAGACTTTGTTTCAGATGAAGTAAGTTTGTTATGTTTTCATGAACAGGTAGATCAGCAGGCTTCTGCAGATTACATTGCAGCAGCTTGGCTGTGCCTTGTGTGGTGCTACTGCATGTGCCTGTTATAACTGCTCACAGATGCTTATTAAAAAGTAGCTGATACATAAACCTGACCTTGTTTGTATAACGGTTTGGTCATCTGGCTCTTCTTAAGTCAAATTTCATGCAGAAGTATCTGTTTTGTCGTTTACTTTTTTCCTAGGTAGTGGCACCAGTACGTGAGACTTGTGCTCAGACTTTGGGAGTGGTACTGAAACACATGAATGAAACTGGTGTTCATAAAACTGTGGATGTTCTCCTGAAGCTACTTACACAGGAACAGTGGGAAGTGAGACATGGTGGTCTCCTAGGGATAAAGTATGCTTTGGCCGTACGTCAGGTAATAGCCCTCATGACAAATTGTAGAGAACTTTAGATCAAAAATCTCTGCTTTAAGTAGAGGATGTAGCTGAACAGTAGATAAGTGTGATAAAGCCAGCTTGCCTGCACTGCAGTCCTGTGGGTTGAGATGTGTGACTGCACTTTTATATCCATGCTGCAAGTATATAGTGCAAGCTGTGCTTGCAGAAAACATTGATATGCCTGCCTTGTCTTGGTGATACTCTCATATGTGAGGTAACAGAGCAGAGTGTTACAAGAAGTATAGGCTATCTGTAGTGGCATTCTGCAGACACTGAGCTTTGTTTATACCAAAACCAAGCTGACTTACAGTTCGTTAAATTTGCTAACCTATGTTTAATTTCATGAACGGTTACTTAAAATATCTAGGTTACAGTCTTGGACCTGTACCATCCCTTTGAAACAATCAGGTTCATTCACACACAGAGTACATCTTAGTTGATTGTATCTTTATAAGCTTTTTCGGTTTAAAAATGCTTTTGATCTTTTTGGCAGGACATGATCAACACTTTATTGCCTAAAGTATTGCCTGCAATAATTGAAGGTCTGCAAGATCTGGATGATGATGTCCGAGCTGTTGCTGCAGCATCTTTAGTACCAGTAGTGGAAAGCCTGGTCCAACTTCAGTCTCAGAAGGTGACTGAACTGTTTTAAGTTCACTTTTGGTCTAAGTGAAGAAAATAATACTTAGAGGCAGCACTGGTTTTGTTGGGCTTTTTTCATTATAAACCTCCTCTGCTTATTTGTGTAGGTGCCTTTTATTCTTAATACCTTGTGGGATGCACTTCTGGAGTTGGATGACTTGACAGCTTCCACAAACAGTATCATGATCCTTCTTTCATCCCTTCTGACTTACCCTCAGGTCCGCAAATGCAGGTAACTTTGCAATTAGTATTGCTTCAGTATTACAGGTCTGAGTGTCCACTTACAGTCAAATTGGAATTACCAGTTGTTTTCAAATTATGTACCAAGGAGATTTCTAATTTAACTCAGTATTTTATTTCTACTCTAGTTTTTTCCATAAAGTGAAGGTTGCAGCAGTGCTTCTATTTCTGGTAGTGAAATACAACAAAGGAATTAAGAGGTGTACTAAATGTGGTTTATATGAGACTTTTTTTTTCTTCTTCTGTCTCTCTCCATTCATCTTGGGTGTTTTCAGTAAAGGATATTTGCTCCACTCACATGGTGGTACTGCCCAAACATCTTGTTTGCTTACAAGGATCAGACAAACTCGAAATGAGACTAAACTATGTATATTAAGACACATTCATGAGCCTGTAGAACTTTACTGTTGGAACAGTTCTGAACATAAATTCACATCAATAGTACAACCAGTAATTCTGTGATGGATTGATGACAGTTGCAATCTTTCTGGGACTCTGACAAATGAAAGGAACTTCATTCATCCTAGTATGTTAAATTTTTCATAATATACGTGGTAAACTCACAGTATCTGCATTTAAGGTAGATGCTGTATACACATTTGATTTTTCTCATCCTGTATGATTGGCACTGCTGAAGCTGGTGGTTGCCCAAATCCAAAATAAAGAATGAAGTTTTGTTACTAATGCAGTCTTTAATTCAGCATGTACTACTTTCATCAGCTGATATGCTAGTTGCAGCAGTTGATACGTGAGTTCGTGCAAAAAAGATGCAAGCTTGTTTTTAATTATTTGTGAAGTCATAACTGCCTAATAGCAACTTCCGGACATAAACAGCCCTTTGTGTTTTCTAAACAGTTGAACAAAGCCTAAAGTATGATCTGGGAAAAAAAACATGGTAAAAACACACGCTTAAACTGACTAGTTCTCTATACCAGTTAAAAAATCCCAAATCAGTATTTTCCTGAAAAAAGATATCAACTCAAACTATTTAAAATGAATAAGCTGTAGTAAGTTGATCCTTCACTTAAAATCACCAAGTATATGCAATACTTTCCTTTCTTTTGGATAAAATGAGAATAAACAAAATTTACTTAGCTCTGTGTATGTGGTTTTTTTTTATCCCTGACACTGCCTCTACATCTCATTTTCCTGTAGTATTCAGCAATCCCTGACAGTTTTGGTCCCACGTGTGTGGCCGTTCTTGCATCACACGATATCTTCTGTGCGAAAAGCAGCACTGGAAACATTATTCACACTGTTGTCTACCCAAGACCAGGTAAGAATTAGAGTTAGTAATGTCTTACTGTGATGCATATTGGAATGTGCTTGGTTATACGATATCCTTGTTTCAGAGTTCTTCAACATGGCTGACTCCAATTCTGCAGGACATGTTGAGGCACATATTTCAGTTTTGTATCTTAGAAAGCAACCAAGAAATTCTGGATCTTATTCACAAGGTATGTGCATGACTTACCACATAGATACAGTGCTTGTGTATCCTGCTCTTTCAAATCCTCTGTGCTTTTGTGCAGATGAAGAATAGTGTGTTTATGTTAAATATTTTGCAATTGTTATGTGTGATGCTTTACGGTAGAGTAAATGAGAGTGTGTTCTACAGTTTCTCAGCATGTGTATGATCTTACATAGATGTATGAATTTGTCATAGTTTCTACTGTGGTTCTTTCCCTAGGTGTGGCTGGAACTGTTAAACAAGGCATCTGTACAGTATGTTGTTGCAGCTGCTTGTCCATGGATGGGAGCGTGGCTCTGCTTAATGATGCAACCATCTCATTTGCCCATTGACTTAAACATGTTGCTAGAAGTAAAAACCAGATCCAAAGTAAGTGAAATGTGGCCTCGCTTACTGTTCTCAGGAAAGTAGGAAATTGCTTAGCTGTATATAAAACACATTCTGAGGGGAGTAGAGGGGAGTGGCAGTGCTTTTCTACAGTTCCAAATGTAAACTGTCTTACATGGCTCAAGTCTGTAGAGCAAAAGGGTTCTTGTCAGGTTATGAGAATTAAGTTCTTCTGTGTAGCGTTCTCTACGTGGGTACTTTATACATCTGTGTTTACATGGCTCTAAAGCCATCTGTTTGCAGGACTGAGTTAAATACAAAAGCATTGTTATTTCTGAAAACATGCTGAGAGAGGTTTCTTTTTTCCTCTGTGTATTTATTGGCTGTATGTCGAGTATTAACCTTAATATTATAGCAAAGGAACTTAGCATACGTTTAATTGGACTACAGAATGCTACCAGTGGACAGGTGATATGCAAGCATTGACTACTTTAAGAAATCTGTTACCCAGGAAGTGTTCTTAGTCCAGCTTTTTAATGGTGTGATGATTATTTGTATTGTTATGGAATATAAATTCATCTTTTCATTACACACACACTTTTAACCTTTCCTTTATTCCACAGGAAAAAGCAGGTGCTAAACTGCGTCAAAGTCAAACCCAGAATAAGGAAGTGATTCAGGAATACATTGCTGGGGCAGACAGCATTGCAGAAGATCCAGCAACCAGGGATTACGTTGTCATGCGTGCTCGGATGATGGCAGCAAAGTCAGTTTACTGGAAATATGAAAAAAATACTTAAAAGCCATGTATTTTTTCCATAATATATAGTGGTTTTGCCAAAATCTAATTACTATTTTGGCATCTTCATTTTGAATCATTGATTGCAGAGTAATTATAACATTGAAGTGACTGTTCTTTTTTGTCTTGTCAGGTTGCTGGGAGCACTTTGTTGCTGCATTTGCGACCCAGGTGTAAATACTGTTACTCAAGAAATAAAGCCAGCTGAATCATTAGCTCAGCTACTGCTCTTCCACTTGAATTCTAAATCTGCCTTGCAGAGGATTAGTGTTGCGTTAGTAATCTGTGAGTGGGCAGCCTTGCAAAAGGTAGGATGTTTCTGCAGCAAAAATAAATTTTACTTACTATCTCAATCCACTGCTTGTTGTGTAGTACTTAGCTTGAATAAGAATTCAGTAGGTAAGCTAAAATGGTGTTTATACATTTAAATGCCAAAATCTTGATCATTAGACATTGGAGGAATACAGGACTCAGTAGATAAATGCCAGCTGTCAGAACTATGAATCAGTAAATACGCTCAAATCTTTTCTACAAATAAATCTATTCTCAAGATGCCTTTTATCTAAGGTCAGTGATGCTTTTTAAGATGACTGTTTTTTCTCTACTCAATGTCACTTCTAGGGGCAGACTTTTTGTTCTTAATCCTTCATCGTTAATATTCTGGGTTATGAATGTTAATAGTCCCTCTGGAAACTGATTTTTGTAGCTAGATTCTGCTGCCCAAGACTGAACAAAAGAAATTGTGATTATTCAGAAATGCGAATTATGTTGTTCTGTTACAGGAGTGTACAACTGTGGCTCTTTGTGTTCAACCTCGTTTGCTTGGGGTCCTTTCTGAACATCTCTATTACGATGAAATTGCGGTTCCTTTTACACGAATGCAAAATGAATGCAAACAACTCATCTCATTGCTAGCTGATGCACACATTGACATTGGAAACAGAGTAAACTGCAGTGTATTTACAATAGATCAAGCTAATGAGCTGGTAAGTAGAAGCATGCCTGCCTTTGCTCCAAATCTGTACTTGTCTTGAAATTATGCCTTCAGCATAATTATTACATAGACAATAACTTGCAGAAATAATGTGGTGACCTTTGCATATCTCATGAAAAGGAATGTGTGAAGATTCTTACTGCTTCCCCTGAGGCGTTTTCAGTCTGACAAAAATAAAGTGCAATACGAGTTACATACTTAATGGAAGAAGGACACTGAGTGTTCTTATCTCAGGTGTGGATTCGCTATTGAAGTCTATGCATAAGAAGACAAAGTGGGCTTCAAAACCATTGTCAGAAGACTTGTAAATAGACTATATAAGTTCTAGGCCTCCTTCCTCCTTGCCCCCATACCTTTTAATCTGCTTTTAATCTTTTTCCAGTGAAAGATTTAAGCAACAGTAGTCAACCAGTTGTGAGTGGGGAAGGATATGGAAGGTTCTGCAACTACTTTGTTGTGCTTTTTTTCTTAGATTTTTATCCCAGTCTCTTTCCTCAAAAGAAAATCAGCTGAGAAACAACTTGTTTGTGTACTGGACCTTGTACATCCTTTCTGGATTCTTATATTCACATTTCTGCCTTGCTGATCTGTCACATGCTTACATATTTCCAGAATATCTGGGTAGAACTGATAGATATGGGACAATCTAAATTTGCAGGAGTAGGTAAACTGCTCTTGTAGCTTTGGGAATCTGGACTTTAAATGACTATAATATATCTGATTTTCTCTTTGATTTGCAGTTCAGGATTCCCAGAAACTACATTTTGGAGTATTTCTTGTTATTTACTTGGCAAATGGAGATGGTGATATGTGGTCAAGTGACTCCTGTTGTGCCATGAGGATAGCCTGTTTTATAGTAAATGAAAGAGATTTGCAATTCTTTTTTTTTCCTTTCCCTTAGGTTACTTCTGTTTTCAATGAGGTGACATCATCCTTTACTTTGAATCCTAAAGTTCTGCAACAGTTGGACAGTAAAAGGCAGCAAGTCCAAATGACTGTTACAGAAACAAATCAAGAATGGCAAGTGTTGCATCTGCGAGTCCACACCTTTGCTGCGTGTGCAGTTGTGAATTTGCAGCAACTTCCAGAAAAACTAAATCCTGTTATAAAACCCTTAATGGAAGCTATCAAAAAAGAAGAGAATACACTCGTGCAAAACTATGTGGCTTCATGTATAGCAAAGTTACTTCAGCAGTGTACAGCAAGGTCTCCTTGTCCCAACTCAAAGATTATAAAAAATCTCTGCAATTCCCTGTGTGTAGATCCACACCTTACCCCACTGGCAGCATGTCCTGCACAGCCTCAGAGTAGCCAGGAAAACTCCAAAGGTATGACATCTAAGACTGCTATGGTTCCTAATATGTCTGCTTATTTCTGAGCTGTTGAAATGAGTATTTGAATGAGACTTGTTTTCATTGATTTTAAAAATGCCAGCATCTGAGTATTTATTAATAATGATTTCATTTAGGTATTCTAAACTGTGTACAACTAATATGTATTATTTTATATCTGTATATCTATATGGATCTAGAAAATACTGTCATTCCAATTTCCCAGTATTGACTCTTGCTTGGTTATTATCCAGTTATGATCACATTTCTCTTACAGATGTTATCGAGTAAAAATGGAAATTATAGTAGCCTGTCAAAAACATGATTTGTGTTACATTCCATAGGCTAATCATAAGATAAAAAGATGAGGACAAATTAATAAAATTAATTCCAAATTAATAAAGTAATCTTATGCATGCAATGGCCATGGATTCTTTAAATGGCTGTCCAGTATTGAAAATGTATGGATTGAATGAATAACCCAGATTAACCCAATTAAGATCTTAATGCTTTCAAAGATTCTAACCTACTTTAAGGTTTGACTGTTGTATGTTTTACTCATTCTTAATGAATGTGTCCTCCTTTATCTCAGGATAGAATAACATTCATACCTGATTGAAAGTGAAGCTCTTAATATAAATAGAAACATCAACAAATCCAAGGATACTGATGGCATCTTTTATTGTGTCGTGACAGAAGTATTGAACTGTTTTAGAGGACACAGAACATAAACTGGTGGAAACTTTAGAACATAATGTGCTTTCTATGAAATAAAATTGTGCAGATGTTTTGTATTTGATGTGTTACCAGTGCTTCTTGCTGAATTATAATTTCTGGCAGTTTGCACACTGAACTTTTCATTCCAAGTCTGTAATGTGTTTGTAGCATAGTAACTCCTCTGTACTGAAGTGCCATCGTCCTCAAGGGTGGAAGAAATCAAGGGTTTTTTAAAGCACAATCAGCAGATGACTTGTAGGTAGCTCTCACTTCCCCCTATGTGTTGAACTGCAGCATAAATTGTTGTCAGCTGTTCTCCCTTTTCTTTTAGGGCCCAACTCTGATAAAGATGGGATGCAGCACACAGTCACTAAGCACAGGGGAATAATTACACTGTACAGACATCAGAAAGCTGCTTTTGCCATCACAAGTCGGCGAGGTCCTACTCCAAAAGCTCCAAAAGCCCCTATTGCAGATCTCCCCACAGGCAGCAGTGGAAGCATTCCTACAGAACTTGATGAGGTACATTTCAAAAGTGTGAATTTGCAACTTCACATTTACTCCTCCCTTCCATTACTTTCCTTACAATGGAATTCACTGGAGTTCATACCATTGTAGTAGGGATGGGCCAGGGTTTTGCATCACAAAATAAGTTTTGTGATGCAAGCAGCTTATGTTTGATGTTTTGAATGTTTGTCATTAAGAGCATTAGTAACTCCTGAAATGTTATATTTACTGTAGTATATGAATATCAATATAAGTTTGTGCAGATGGAGTTCCACAAAGTGTGGAACAAACACAAGAGGACACGAGCTGTGTCCTTCTCATGGTAGTGTTGGTTCATCTCAATGCCTGCTGAATGCCTCTGAAACATTAAAACCAGCAACTGAAATAGGACTCTGTGAAACAGCATCTGTGTGGCTTCCATACTTGTTTTCCTAAACTCTCCCCTTTTATTAATTTCAAACTTCAGCATGTTTTAACTAGATTCTAGGTAGGACTGTGAACTCCTAAACAATGTTGTGGATTTTGTTCCTAATTAGTAGTGTTTTTTATTAATTCTTCTTGCCAAAGAGGGTGGGATAAATAAAAAATCAAGTATTCTAAGTTTTCTAGTATAGTACTACTCTTGGTGTCACTGTATTGGCAATATCTGAGGTTCTGGGACCAGAGCCACTGGGAAACGTCTTGTTGAAATGGACCAATATCAGCAAAGGCCACATCTCAAATGTATAGAGTTTAAATAATTGGCTACAAAAGATTTTTTTGTATTTTACATCTATAAAGAATAAAGTAATTAACTTGGAAACCTATTGGTGGATGTGTTGTAGGTAGGTGTAAACAATCAGAATTGAATGCCTATGTAATGAGATGTCACCCTTGGCAATAATTGTTATTAAATGTATCTAACCTCACTACTTTGATAAATTGTTTAATTCTAGGCTCAGAAACCTTACGTTGTACAGAGAAGAGGAGCTGAATTTGCCTTATCTACTATAGCTAAACATTTTGGTGCTGAAATGGCAACAGGATTGCCACATCTCTGGGATGCTATGGTTGGTTCATTAAGGAACAACATTCACATAAATAATTTTGGTAATTACACTTCTGATTTCAGCTGGGAAGGGTGGCAGGCTGGATCCAGTATGCCAGTTTTAAACTGAACACCTTTTCTGTTTGTACCAGACCGAAAGTCCTTACTGGAAAAAGGAGATGCTCCTGCTCAGGAGCTGGTGAATTCCTTGCAGGTTTTTGAAACAACAGCAGCTTCAATGGATACTCAGCTACATCCTCTGGTAATCACCTCTTGCATGAAACACTTCAGCCTCTTTGTTGCTAGTGGTTTAAGTCTATATTATTCTTTTTTAGATGTTTTTCTGAATTGTGTGGCCAGAGTGGAGGCAAAATGGTAGTAATAAAGTCAGTTTATTGCTTGGCTATCCTGTACCAGACTGAAGGTTGTCAGAAAGGTTGCCTGTGCAGGGAATGCAAAAATTATGGAGACCTCAGTTTGCCCCCAAGTAGAATAGGTTTGATTGTTTAAACTGTTTCTTTCTATGAACTGTCTGTTTCTACTTGAGAGAGAATCCTGGAGTTGGGATAATTCTGTGAAAGTATCAGTAAAGTACTGGTTAAAAAACCAGGAATAATCAAGAAAGCCATCCTTATGTCTGCATTGAACACAATTTTCAGTACTAGCCTATCTGCAGTACTCTATTTCAGAATAAATATAGTAGCTCTGGAAGAGACACAGAAGACATGACAAAAATACATGACAAGGCTCCTATGCAAGGAATAAGTAGGCCAGACTCTGGAAAGGTTGTGTATAATGAAGGGCTATAAAATGCCGAGCAGATGGAGAAGAATCATGTGGAAATTTCTTACCTATTTTAATAAAATACTTAAGTGATTTTGAATGCATTTAGTATATGCCATGGAAAGACTTTTTTAATATGTGCATTTTATATGTATAGGCACATAAATGCGGTTATTGTGTAGATTGTTTTTGGTGGTGCTAATACTGTATGCAGTTTAAAAAAACTCGTAGAAAGTCAAAGAGGCTGATCTTGGTTCATCAAAGCTAGAATTTAGGGACTTTCACAGCAGGAAAAACCTGACCATCTGTTCAGGTGTTGGATACGAAAGCACATCTGCACTGATTAAAAAGAGGACACATACATACACCAAAGACAGACCTGTATATCCTGCTGGGGAGATGCAGATTTCCTTCTGGGTGTCCTCCATGTCACACAGAATTAGTGAGATTCCCAACATGAGTGAGTAATCTGCTTAAACACAGAGGGAATGAGTCTTGAATGAATATGCTAGCTGGAAGGAATTCTTAAATCTATGTATCTGTGTTTAAGAAATATTCTATTCTGTGTATTTAGTACTATATTTTCAGTGTTAAACGCCTCCTTACTAACTAAGGGCTTCATTAGTTTTCATTTTGACTGAAATGCTAAATATTTTGTTACTCTGAATTTTATCTGTATTGGGGCACTCAATACATGTTCAAAGTTCCAATTGCCTTTTTCTTCTGAAATGATTTTCTAGTTTTAAGCAATTATATCTTGCAAATGAGCCTTTTATGCATTTTTAAGTTACTTTGAAAGACTCTGTAATTTAAAAAAAAATTACGAATTTGTTTATAATTCATATTAATCTTTACTCCCCATGCCTTTTTTCTTTTATTCAGTTAATACAGCATTTGCCTCATCTTTACATGTGCCTTCAACATCCCAGCACTGCTGTGAGACACATGGCTTCCCGTTGTGTGGGTGTTATGAGCAAAATAGCAACCATGGAAACAATGAATATCTTTCTAGAGAAAGTTCTGCCCTGGCTAGGAGCAATAGATGACAACACCAAACAAGAAGGTGCAATTGAAGCACTTGCATGTATCCTTGCTTGTGTATTCAAAAATGCAGAATCTTTGCTGTTGTTTCATTTGGGTGAACAAAAATGGTTGCCTGGAATAAATGGAGGAGGAATGAAATAAAATACTAAGCTGTTTTTTCTCCTGTGGAAAGAAACAGAAGAAACTTCCATTTCTATTGCCCTTATTTTATCTACCAAGTGACATTTTGGTGGAGGTAATTCCGTTTCTCAAACTATGCACTTTTCTGGCTGAATGTAATTGGGTAGATCAGATTTCCCTGCTTCTGCATTGCTTTGTTACTAGAAATCTCACTCACCCGAGTGTAACAATTAATGACTCTTACTTATTGAGTGTGAAATCTCCTGGGTGTGTATTTGTCAGACAAACCTGAGCTGTTAAAAACCATTTCCTTAATAACCACTCCAGGTGTTATGGAGCAGCTGGATGTTGGTATTGTTCCATACATTGTCCTTCTAGTGGTTCCAGTTCTGGGGAGAATGAGTGATCAGACAAACAGTGTGCGTTTCATGGCTACTCAGTGCTTTGCCACACTCATTAGACTGATGCCTCTTGAGGTAAGCTCGAGCTGTAATTTATGGAGTATGTGACCTGTCCTTTCCACTCTTTCACCAGCTGCAAAGTCCAGGCTTCTGGCTTATTAAATGCTGAATAAGTAACTGGTTTTATAGGAGTTGAGTTTGTATCAGATGATATTAGATGTGCCCTTTATAAGTAAAATGAACAAAATTTGACCCTGTGTTAGCAATTTCCTATTTAATGTTAAAATAAAATTTCTCTTTATAAGAAGCTCATTTCAGCTGTATATGCTATTAAATGGTAGACTTACTAATTTTGTGTGTAATGCTGCTTTTTTTAGTTTGGGTTTAAAAGTTTTTGGAGTTCTACATGCACTTTCCTTAGGGTATGTGTGTTGCTGAGTATGTTAAGAGAAATGCACAAAAACAATACTAGTTTAAAAGAAAAATCAAAAATAACAGTAATAGAAACTGTGTGGGGATAAGTAGGGTCACTTTTATTACTAGTTCTTAAAATTTAACACTACTGCATCATAATACACAATATTTTGCCTAAATATGTAGGGTAGTGCTTTTTAGTCATCTGCTTCAGTCTTTTACTCCTGCTACAACTTGTATACCTCAGACAACTTTTCATGTTGTGCATCAAAGATTACAGTGCCTCTAAGTAACTTAATGTGACCACCAGATGGTAATAGAAGACAGCTTAGAATTTCCACAGCAATAATAAAAAACAGTTGTCAGCTTAATGGGTTTTTATTATTTCACTTTTTAATTTAGCACTGTATGTTATTAGCAAGTAAGAAAGCATATTTGGCCCCCAAATGCCTTCTTTGGGCTTCTGGCCTGGTATGGGGACTACCTAGGAAGTAAAGGTCTGCTGTTACAAATCTAGAGGGGTTCATTTTTTTTTTTTTTTTTTCTCCTAACAGTTTCCAACTGCTTGAATTAATCCTATGGATTTCAGTATCCCATTAAATCTAATCCTAATAAGTAGGAGAAAAATCCATCAAACTTGGGATGGTAGCTTGTGCCTCAAGAGATGTGGGTGTCACAGGATTCTCTAGCCAGCCAGATAAACTTTGATTAGAGGGAGAATAGCTCAGTCTTTGTAGAACCTTAGCAGCGTGACCAGAATTTTCCATCTTTTGTGTAATTTCTGTCAATCTGTACAATGTGTCCTTTTGGGGCAGGATTTGTCTCTTGTACCTTACAACACTGCATGTGTTGACCTGCAAATAATCAAACAAGTATAGTTAAATATAGTATTTAAATCCTGAGTTTAGATTCATACAGTTGAGAAGACTGCAGATCTTTAGTGTGTTTAAAATGTCTGAGTATGAGGTTTTCTTCTTCTCCTTTGTGTGGCAATTAAGTTCTGTAGCCCTTAAACGACTGCTTTAAAAATGTTCCCTAGGCTGGTATACCAGACCCACCAAACATGTCCGAAGAATTAATCAAAATGAAGGCTAAAGAACGTCACTTCCTGGAACAATTACTGGATGGAAAAAAACTGGAAAATTATGAAATTCCAGTACCAATCAAAGCAGAGCTCAGAAAATACCAGCAGGTAACAGCTTATATTTTATTTTAAGAGTTCCAGTCTTGATATGATTTCATGGAATAGTAGGAGTTGTTCAGGTATTGGCATTTTTCTTGTAGATTGAGTGTTCTGGTTTTTGTTGTGCAGTGTGTATCTTGGACTCTGGATAAGGAAGAACAAATGAAGTCACGCATGCTTCTTACGCTGTTCTAATGATATTTTTTTCCCCTTTCTGGATTTTTGCCTTTTTTTGTGGGAATGGCCTGTGGTCTGTGCCTTGCTAACACTGACTGTGGCAACCCACCACTGCAAAGGCAGACCTCACTGTACCATCTGGATGTTTGCTTCTCCCTTTATTCCCCCCTCTTTTAGTGAATGGGCTCTACTGGATGCATTTGTGGTGGGAAATGAGCTCCTAGTTTGGCAGTGCCGGGTCATTGAACATATGGATGTTTGAATTGAATGAAGCTCAACTAGCAAAAAGCCAGTTTTTACTTGAGGCACTCTCCTTTTCTGATTTCAGGATGGAGTGAATTGGCTTGCATTTCTCAATAAATACAAACTTCATGGAATTCTTTGTGATGACATGGGCTTAGGAAAAACTTTACAGTCCATTTGCATTCTTGCAGGTGATCATTGCCTCAGGTAAGCTTAAACAAATAACATTGTGTCTTAGACTTTAGTGATAGGTCTTAGGTGTGGTAATGAATTTGGACATAGTCCTGGGCAATTGTGACTGTAGGTGGTTGTGCTTGGAAAAGGGGTTTGGACCAAGTGGCCTCTAAGGAAGTCCCTTCCCACCTCAACTCTTCTGTGAAAAGCATTTTTATTAAAACTCTATTTTATACCCTTAAAGGGCTCAAGAATATGCAAGAACAAAACTGGTGGACAGTGTTCCTCTTCCCTCCTTGGTGGTGTGTCCTCCTACACTCACAGGACACTGGGTGGATGAAGTGGGCAAATTTTGCTCAAAAGAATATCTTAATCCATTGCACTATACAGGACCTCCTACTGAGAGAGCAAGGTAACCCATTTTGTGTTTATGACTGGTTTAGAGTAAAATATCACACATGGAATTTTTTCAATTTACTTTACTGCTACTACTGAAGCATACTTTGTGAACATGGGAACACTTGTGGTGGTATCTTTAAAGGCTGAAATAATAATATGTAAGGAACAGCTCAATTAATTCCTCATTTTTTTTCTTCAGATTGCAACACCAGGTGAAAAGACACAATCTCATAGTGGCTTCATATGATGTTGTAAGAAATGACATTGACTTCTTCAGGTAAGAATTGGCTTGTTTTCTGAGGTTTTTAATAGCTTAGAATTTTAAATGCTACTTAAGTCTGTGTTCTTCTTTTCTAGAAATATTAAGTTTAATTACTGCATTCTTGATGAAGGCCATGTCATAAAAAATGGAAAAACAAAGCTGTCAAAAGCAGTAAAACAGCTGACTGCTAATTACAGGATAATTCTTTCTGGGACACCAATCCAGGTAACTAATTTTCTATTTTTGATAAATAGTAGAAAACAAACAAGATAGACCTACCTTGCACTCAGTTTTAGCGTACCTTTTAACAATCATCTTGTTCAAAGCATACATTGTAAAACTTTTTTTTTTTTTTTTAACTTCTAAATACTCAAAATATAAGTACTCAAATACTTTTCCCTTTCCTGGTATACCTGTGTACAGGAGAATTAATGCAGGTTTATGGTATTAAAGAAGTTCAAAAGTTGGCAGCAAGACTTTCTCTACCACTTCCTCTTTAAGTGTCAGGCAGGAAAGAGACCATTTCCCTATACCTCAAGTAAAATTAGCGGGAAACTCAATTCTGTCATCTTCAGACTTTGAGCTTTGTTCCAATGACTTGCCTGTGCAGCCTATGTCACACCCAGGACTGAGACCACTGGTGTGTCCTGGGTTTTTTTAACCAGAAGAACTAAGTGTGACTTAAGGCACTGGACATAGTGGGAAGTCCATTTATACATTCAAGTGCATGCTGAGGTATTTCTGTAACTCGGATAGAAAAAAGAGCAACCTAGCTCCAGGAGCTTGGGACTAGGTTGTAGTGTGAGTTTTGTAATGTTTTAAACATGTATGGAAATTTTCTTATATCTTGCAGCAACTTACTAGTTGTGAAAATCATTTATCAAATGTTTCTTTTATCTTCAGAACAACGTCTTGGAGTTGTGGTCGTTGTTTGACTTCCTAATGCCAGGATTCTTGGGCACTGAACGCCAATTTGCAGCTCGTTATGGCAAACCCATCCTGGCAAGCAGAGATGCCCGAAGCTCCAGTCGAGAGCAAGAGGCTGGTAAGGATCAAATGTTTAATACCTGGGGTTTTGTTTTAGCCTTTTAAATGAGAACTGCTAATGAAAAGAAAAAGTGTGGTTAGTTCTAACATCAGAGATTGAGGGGGAGCTGAATGTTTTGAAAAAAGTGTTTTTCTTCTAAAACACTGCTGCTGTTTCCCTCACTAGGGGTACTCGCAATGGAAGCTCTGCATCGCCAAGTCCTGCCATTCCTGCTAAGGAGAATGAAAGAGGATGTGCTGCAAGATCTTCCACCCAAAATTATTCAAGATTATTACTGTATTCTCAGTCCTCTACAGGTATGCTTAAAAAGTGGCTGAAAGTTTATTTTTCAGCACAGTTTATACCACACAGGCATGAATTCTGTATTCCTGTATCAGACTGATATCAGATACTGACATTCTCTGGATGTACTATAAGAATTTTGTAGTGTGCGTTTGAAACGCTAATTCCAGTCCTGTTGTAATAGAATATTTACTGAGCTTAATTTTGGGCATTATTCAGGAACAACGTGGAGGCATCTGCAGATTGTTCTTCAGTTACACTTTGCAAGTTGAAAGAAAATAAATGGCAAGAGATTCTGTTCTTAATGCTACAAGTAGCTTTCTTGATGCGTGATAACTCAGAATTTTAATTTGAAACTAAACTCTGAATAGGACTGTCTATTTTCTGTCAGGAAAAACACTCATTCTCTTGTCTGGTCTACAGGTTCAGCTTTATGAAGATTTTGCCAAGTCTCGTGCCAAATGTGATATTGATGAAACAGTTTCTTCAATTTCAATGAATGAAGAAACTGAAAAACCAAAGCTTAAATCTACAGGTCATGTATTTCAGGTAAAGATTTTTCAGCAATTTTTATTACCAAGTACATATGTTTTTGGTAACTGTATTTATAGGTTTAGTAAAAAATGAAAATCAAAATAGTAAACTTAGGCATTTGTAGTCATACGATCTAAGCAGAGTATGTATGGCTGGAATGTGATGTATAGCTATTACATTTATATTATGGGTTTGTGTCTTATGGAGCATAACACAGCCTTGTATTTTTAATGTGGTCTGCTCAGTTGTGTTCAGCTGTTTTGTGGATCCTGTAAAAACTTGAGTACTGAGAGAGCAAAACCTCAGAATGGGGGAAGTAATTCTGATTGCACCAGCTGTTACACTTCAACATTAAGATTCTAAAACATTGACAAAATGTTCCCTTAAGGGTAGATCTGAATTTATGAAGGTTCATGATCTTACAGAATTGCAGATTAACTCTTGGTTAATTGGAAACAATTATTCTCAAACTGCTCCTCTATTGCAGACTCAGATGAAAGTGTGGGAAATGGTAATCCTTGCATTTTTCCTGAAAGAAGGAAGATCACAATGAGTGTAACAGGTTTTTTTTTTTTTTTTACACAATTTGAAATGCAGGTTTTAAATGTGTAGCTTTGATGAAAACACACCATGAAGTCCAGATTGTGTGTGGCATGTGGCCGAGTGACCCCTGTACTTAAAATCAATTCTGTTAGTCCTTTTTCTGTGTTCTTGCCAGTTATTTCTTTGAACTTCTTTTCTTAAATAAAGGCATTGCAGTACTTACGGAAGCTCTGCAACCATCCAGCATTAGTGCTCACAACTCAACATCCAGAATATAAGAGAATTACAGAGCAGCTTGCAGCTCAGAATTCATCCCTTCGAGATATCCAACATGCACCTAAGCTGTCTGCTTTAAAACAAGTAAGTGGGCTTGTGTTGTGCCTTAAATTACCCATATGCCTCTACTGCTGTTATAGTCTAGGATCTTTTATTTAAGATTTCATCAGTATGGAAACTCTTCTTAATAAAATTAAGTTGCAAATGAAAAAATGCAAGGGTGTTTCAGGTATATGCCCTATTTTCCCTGATAATTCAAGAGGGAGGGTGAAACAACCATCTTCATAGTGATGTTTCTATAACTTTATGGCATATGAAAAACCTTACTTCTATTCCTGTCCCTCCTGTTGCAGATTTTTTTTTCATTTTTATTGCACAGGAGACTGCTTCCTTGATAAAGTTAGATTGCATTGCATAGCTTACTTAAAATCGAATTTAAGTGAAGAAAATGTGTTGTGTTTTTTTCATTTTTCAATGACTCAAGTTTCTCAGTTTGATCGGGAAGCCAAACTTCACCTTGTTGCAATTTAAGTGACTGTCATTTAGAAACTTCCTTCTGCAGTTTTTCTCTCCTTTCTACTTTTGATAATCAACGAATGTCAATGTTTTCATGAGATCTGCAGTCATTTTAATGACACACTTTAATATTCTTTTACTTAAAGCTGCTGTTAGACTGTGGTTTAGGGAATGGTGGATCTTCAGAAAGTGGTACAGAAGCTGTTGTGGCCCAGCACAGAGTGCTTATCTTCTGTCAGCTGAAGAGTATGCTGGATATAGTGGAGCACGATCTTCTCCGACCTCAGTTACCTTCAGTTACCTACTTACGACTGGATGGCAGCATCCCTGCTGGGCAGAGACATTCCATTGTTTCCCGGTATGCATTACCCTCCAGAACCAGGATGAGGCCAGCTCTAATGAACTGTATTAATTATATGGTGCAAAATTGGGGGTTTTTTCTGACTCAAAGCAGATTAAGTTTATAAATTGGGTTTTCAAATGAAACTTAGTATGGTTAACTTCTTCTTGTATGCAGGTTTAATAATGACCCATCTATAGATGTTCTTTTGCTCACCACTCACGTTGGTGGACTGGGACTTAACTTGACAGGGGCTGACACAGTTGTATTTGTGGAACATGACTGGAACCCAATGAGAGACCTGCAAGCCATGGATCGGGCACATCGCATTGGGCAGGTGAGAACCTCTTCATTTCCCATGAGGGTGGCTTTTCTCTTGCTGAACTTGCTTGAAAGAGTTTGTAATGTATAACAAAGTGACTTCTGTAGGTTTCTGCCAAGCTGCCATTCACACTTATTTCTTGCAAATATGCCAGCTGCTGAAGTGTGTACTTCCTCATTCTTGGTAAGTCTTGTGTACTTCCTGAGCTGCTGGGGAGAGGCCAGAGAAGAATCACGCTTAGGTGGAGGAAGAGATGACTGAGAGCTGAGACAAGGAACTGAAGGGACAGCCCCACAGGGTTATCCTCTGGTGCTTGGACAGGGCAAGAATGACTGCTGGTAGTCTTCCCTTAGAGCTGTAAAAACCAGTGAATTCTTCCAGAGTACAGAGGCAACTGAAGATGCCTGTACTGTATAGTGGGATAGTCTTGTGCTTTCCATCTAATGTCTGTCAAACTGAATAGAGTTACTGAAGGGTAACTCCAAGCCAAACTACTTCCAGACTCTCCATGATAAACAGTAAAAGCTTATGCTTTCCTGAAAACCTAAGATTACACGCTTTTTAGCTAAGTGTGCTTTTTTTTCTTTCAGAAACGTGTCGTTAATGTATATCGCCTGATAACCAGGGGAACTCTGGAAGAGAAGATCATGGGTCTTCAGAAGTTCAAAATTAATATTGCAAATACAGTGATCAGCCAAGAAAATGCAAGCCTACAGAGCATGGGAACAGAGCAGCTTCTTGATCTGTTCACTCTTGACAAGGTAAAGAGACATTTTTACAAATACCTGCCAAAAATAGTCAGCTTAGGGAAAAGCTTTGCTTTGAAATATAAAATATAGTCACACGAATGCTTAAGTTGGACATGAATAGTAGACAGCTTTTTGAACAACAAAAGGAAGTGAGACTTCCCCAGAAGAATTGGTTAGAATCTTGAAAATGTTACTCTGTATATTAACGGGAATTTTTTTCTTTTGTGAAGGATGGCAAAACTGAAAAAGCAGATACCTCTACCTCTTCTGGGAAAGCGTCAATGAAATCAGTACTCGAAAATCTTGGAGAACTATGGGATCAAGAGCAGTATGACACTGAATACAGTCTTGAAAACTTTATGCATTCATTAAAGTAACCATCACATATTTGTAATACAACTGCTGCTAGTTCACATTTTTCTGCTGATATTCAGCAAACTTCAAAGCATATAGAGTGAACCTTTAGCTTAATGTGTAAATAGACTTACTGAAAGAGGAATCTTCAAAAGACTGGCACAAAGTAGTGTCAGCTGTTTCACTGGGAAGTTATTCTGTCTTAAACGTTTGCACTGTATAAAAACTTTAAATGTAAACATTGTGAGGTGGTTCGAATTTTACTTGTTCTGAACAGCTGCAAATTCTTACTTGGTAGAAGAATTAAAACAAAGCAGGTTTTTACATTTGTTAACAAGTGTTGCTTGTGTTTGCAGTTAAGTCCATCATTATTTCTTTCTGTATCTATAATAGTTTTGTACAGTTGTTTCTGTGAGTACTTCAGGTTGTTCAGTGTACATTTTTCTTTTAAACACAACTTGCTTTTATGGTGTATTTAAAAAGCAATTTTCAACTTAAGCTTTCATTCAGATCATTTCAGGACTTGTATCACCAGAGACAAAGCCCAGAAGCCTTGAAAGTGTTGAATAATGGAATGGCACTAGGCCTGTGCACCCACCTTTGTATATGGACTATAAATATATCACACTCTTCAGTCTTTTGACACCATCTTGTGAGAACAGCTGACTTGAACTTTTTAATGTAATGAGCTCTATTAAATACAGGTAATGGCCTATTTGAGGCCATGTTTGCATCCTATTAGCAGGGGTGTACTTTTTTAATTTATCTATAAGGCTAGAATATAGCCACTTTGAGAGATGCATGTATTCCATATGTTTCAATCCTATATATTTTTTGTAACTAAAAGAAGAAATTAAATATACAGACATTTTCCAGAAGTAGATTTTACACTGTCTAGGATTCTAAAATCCATGCTAAAAGTGACTGTGTACTAAACTGATGCATGATTTAAAGCTTCTTAAAGGAATAGGAAGGACTTTTTTCTTTAGGAGAAAATATACATAGAAATACCTACATTCAGTTTGAGGTAATTGAATAGTTAAAATTGTGTAACAAAAATAGTAAAAGACTTTAATAGCAGTGAGTGAGAATTATATGGCTGTATGTTATGCAGCTTTTTATAAAAAAGGGAGGCAGTAGCAAAAGTGTGTTTCTAGATGTGCATATGTACCAGTATATGCACTTTTTATAAATATTAAATTATAGATAACTTACAGCAGTTGTCTGAACACATAGAATATATGTATAAATATAAAACCTAAGGTTTGTAGCTTGCTGTGTGCTTAAGCATCAGAGCTCAAAAACCACCAGAGACCTCAACTATTGTAAAATAAGATGGTTTTAAAACTATATAAATCAAGACAGTTCTACAACATTGGAGACAAGTTAATGTCACATTTCAGTAGGTATGAACTGCCAGATTGTAACTGAATTAGCATTCCATGAAAATAAAACAAACTGGGAATACATAAGTTGTATGTTGAGTTTTGTTTCTGTAAGGAAGACTTATCTGGCTGCCTAAAAAACCTAATGCTTTTGGAAATTGCAGCTGAGTTATGAGCATAATAGTCATTAATTTCTACCTTCAGACTATTTCTGTTGTGCTTTCAGCAGCTTGATCCAAGCAGGGGAGACAAGATGGGGCTTGGTGGTGTTTGCAGAGAAGTTACAATGCTGGAGTAATGCATACTTGAAGATAATTTGGTGCAGTAATTTGGTGATAGTGCCTAGAAATAATGAGATTTGAATAAAGAAACTTCTTTAGTGGTAAAAATTGCATGTTTTTCTTCAATAGTTTTATTAGGTGCTGTGGTAAGAAACTGTTTGGGTCCTGTTGGGAAAGAAATAGCATAGGACTGTTTTAAGCCAGTTATTTATCATATTGAAGTTGCTATGCAACCATAATAATTTTAGTGATGACTCTCTTGGATATCACATCAAGAAGATTCCAGCACCTGAAAAACAGGGGAAGGTATAAACCTAGAATAATGATTTCAAGATTACTGTATGTACTTACTGATCTTAAGTGTTCTGTCAATGCTTTGAAATGTAACCCAACTGGAGCACTGCACCAACTATATAAAAAGAGGTTTTGTTACCTTTAAATATTTAATGAAGAGCTCTTCTATGGGTTTTCAAACTAGCAGAGCATTTGCCAAGATCTGGCTTGTTTGTGCAGTGTCCTCAGTGCACAAACTGGATTCACTTACAACAAGAAATAGCTCTTGCAATGCCTTTAACTGCATTTGATCCCTTTAATGGGTATTCAGCTGGACCAGACCAGGGTCTGGGCTGGAATAGGAAAGTTTCTTTATTTCTAGACTGAAATGAAACCTTCAAATATGTCAGATTCTCAGCACCAGCCATTTTGCTCTCCAGCTCTGTCCCTAGTACAGGTTCTTACTTGCTAGTGAGGATACAGCCTAAGCCTTGACTGACAGCAGGTAGAGTCACCAGAGGCCCAAAGAAACATGAACTGAGTAGAACCATGCATAGGCTGAATGCTTTGGGTTGGAAGTGATCCTAAAGATCATCCAGGTCCAAAGCCCTTCCATGGACAGGGACACCTTCCGCTATACCAGATTGCTCCAAGATCTGTTCAACCTGGCCTTGAACACGTCCAGGGATGGGGCATCTGTAACTTTTCTGGGCAACCTGCTCCACCTCCTCACTCAAGGCTTGATGCGTTGTGTGTAATTTACACTGAATTAAATTAGTCTCATCATTTATTAGCATCAAAAAAAACTAATAATCACCAAAGCCAGACCTCCAGATTAATCTAGTTCCTGATTCAGAGCTTTCTAATCTGTGAGAGCTAAGTACCTCTGACTGGTGACCGCATTCTGGGCTGGAAGGAATGACTTTGAAACAACTGTACACATAATGCTGCTTTTCAGCCCAACTTAAGGACTACTTCAATTCTACTTTAAACTAAATGGAGAACTACATTCTGCAAACATGAACCAGGTCTGCATAAACACACCTTCTGCTGTGTCTGTTGTACTTAGTTTAACAAAGAATACAATCTTAACAAGTCTGTCTTTCTCCCTGTAGGTTATCTTTGGAATTCACTTAGACAGGAAGTTGCTTACTTTCTGCAAATTTACATACAACTATTGCAGGTTTCTAGGTTGTTTTTTTTTTACTCTTCTCCCTAATGTTTTAGGAAGTTTTTTTCCCAAGCTTGCTGAAAGTGAAATTACACTGAATATCCAAGGTATATACATAGTCATTTAGTTTAATGCAAATTAGTTCAAGTTGAGTCTTTTGCTTTAGTCCATTATCTTTATGAATCTTGTATTTTTACCTTAAGATTACCAGATTTCAAGACCAATGCTTACATTTACCATTAGTGGTATCCCCAGCTTTCCTACTCTTATGGTTCTGCAGGTTGTAAGGCAAAGAGCACACATTTCTAATTAAGCCTTAATTCGAGCAGTAGGGCAACTTAAGCCATATTAGAAAATGTGAAAAACTTTTAAGATGAAAACATATTCACATACCAAAGCTTTTATTAACTTCCTTACAGATAGTAAATAATGTAGTGTTAAATCTAGCTTGGTGTGCAATGTTAATAGAGCTTTGGTATAGGGTAAACTTTAAAGCTTATAAGGATCACAGCAGTAACTGACTTGGACTAAGTTGCTTTGTAATCAAAAGCTTAGAAGATGGAGTTCTTTCTTTAAACCAGGCAGAGAGATGCTTTACAGTATTTTATAAATCACATTTAAGTGAATTACTTTCAAGGACAGTTCTCTGAATATAAGTATTTTTATAGAGATGATCATCCATCTATAGGCTTTCAGTGGTCTGTTAAAGGGACATGACCTTTGAATTTGTGTCAGAAACTCTTTCAGTTGGCTCCTTATCTTCTAGTAGCTTTGCTAGTTCTCCAGTATTCTCCTCTGCAGCAGGTTTGGAAGTATGTGTTCAGTTACACGGTTTTTAAGGCACTTCCCTGTTCAGGAATCGGGATTTAGTTGATACTCTGGCAGCCAGATCAGATTCAGGGATTCTGCCCAGCAAGTGAAAGCTTCCTTTGGTGTGAGACTGCCAGCACTACCCTTTCCAATACAGGAATGCCGCTCCCCTCCTGGGAAGACCATATAGGAGCAGGGTGAGAGAGCTCTAACTTCACACTGACAATTCTGTGATCATGGATGTCACTCAAAAGGAGATGCTCTTCATCTGCTGTGTGTGTGCACAGGTAGAGCTCTGCTGCTATGAACCCTGAGGTGAGCTCTGTTGGTTGGAGCAAGCATGGTGCTCATTATGCCAAAACCTCTCCATTCATAAGCCTTATGCAGTAACAACAAAACCTTAATTTTCTTCTAACAGGTACCTTTAATTTAACATGAAGAGTAGAAGGTCTGTGCCAAGCTCCTCTGTATCTTTTTTTCTTGGGCAACAGCTAAATATACTATACTTACACTGTGCATATGCTGCAGTGGATAGGCAAGAAGATGAGAGAAAGTTGTCCTTTGCCAAGGTTAAGACATTTTTATTAACTTCTTGTAGACACAGGGATCCAAACTGGAAACTTTGCATCTCAAGTTGTATCCATCAGCCTTGCATCTACACAAACCAGCACACATGGGTTTAGGAAATTTGTTAGGCTATCCTACCTTTAAAAAGTCATATGTGCAAGACTTGTCCTGTTTTCTTAGCTCAGTCATGTGGATAGCTAACTTGGAGAATTGGGTGACTGACAATTTACGAAGTAATCAACTCTTACAGATTATGACCTTTAGTATTTTCTTTTAAAGTAACATTAAGACCAGGATTTGCTAAGTTGTAAGAGGAATTCTACATACTAAAGGAAAACGTTTACTACTCAATTTCCCTTTTTCAGATGAGGGAAGGAAGTTGATCCAGAGAGCAGAAACTTCAAACCCATAAATTGCCTCAGGTGCAAAAGCTGCAGGAGTAGGGAGAAAGGAAGGATACACTGCATCCTGCCAAATGGCTGTTCCAGGGACACAGCAAAATGAGCTACTCTGCAGTTCAGTGAGAGGCTCAGAAATAGCTGAGCTATGGGAACATGCTGGCCATGTCTCCAATACACTCCAGTTCCAGGGGCCTTTGCAGGGCTATGCTCTCCATGCCAAGGCTGTGCCTGCCAGAGGTTTCCCATATGTCAGGGTAATTACATTTCACAGTTTATGCAGGCTGGGTGCTTAACTACTCCATTGAGAAAATGGGAGTACTGCTCAGTGTAGCGGCCCAAGCGGATCATGTGGTTAACTTGTGTGCTTTTTGCTGCTGTTTCAATGTTAGCTCTCTCTGAGTAAATACTGTGCTCTACAGATACACATTTATGTATTCTGACCCTGTTTCTTGTGACTCATACTGCACTTACAGAGATTTAATTATCAGTCACAGCCCAGCATCTGAGAAATAAAGCCTTAAAGTAGAAATCTGTAATGGCAAGCCAAGGGAAGAGCTAACACAGATGTTAAAATCTGCTTTTGCAAGAACAGAGCTTGAAAAAAGTCAGTTGAATTTGTCATGATCTCTGCTGTAGCCAGAGAGGGAAGACATTAAAAATACATCAACTCCCAGAAAATGACACATTCCAATTCCTGCCTTTCTTCTGAATCACAGCTGCCTCACTTAACAGGAAAACTGACTTTTGACTTTGCATGACCAAAACAAGTGTGCCTTTAGGAAAATGCACTCTACTCTGATCTATTTCTCCATGCTGCCCTCGCCTCCACACAGTCCAAATTATAAAACACTTCTGGGATGCTTGCAACTGTTCATTCTTGGCTTCCATTTTGCAAGTATCATCACTCACAAACCACAACAATCAAACTAAATCAAACTTGTGAGCTTAACTTTAGGTACTCAGGTGCTATTTCATGTTCATTTGGACACATCTGGATACCTATATAAACATTGGCAAAGTTCACTTCTGGGCATAAAGTTAAAATGCAGCCCATGCTCGTATTCAAGAGAATGTGTTTTCAAGAGATGGCAGAGGAAGGAATCATGCAGAATAACAAAACCAGCAGTAAGTGCCATCCCACCAGTGTCTGTCTTCATTTATGACTAATTTAAAGCTCACCCACTTAGGCATCACATCAGTTAAATTACCAGTTCATTTGCAAGCTGGAAAGGACAACGTGGCAGAATTCAAAGTTGGTACTTCTGCTTTCTTTGCTGCCCTGGTGATAGCTGCAAGATGCGATCAGCATTTCAGGCTTCTCATGGCTGGCACAGTCAGCAGTAGTTAATTATTGTTTATAAAATGCAGAACTCTGTGTTCTCACAGTTAAAAGTTGCATCACTCTTTGGCTGTATCTATTATTTATCAGCTGAAGAGCAAGGCAGCAAACAAAGCAAGGAGAGTGAAAAACCACCAAAACCTATGACAGTTTACATGGGCTGTGTAGGGCCAGGGAAAGCAAAGGAGGAGGAAGGGACATGGGATGCACTTGTCGCCAGCCTATTTTCCCTGGCTCTGTTT